GCTGAGGCAGGAGAATGGCGTGAACCTGGGAGGCGGAGCTTGCAGTGAGCTGAGATCCAGCCACTGCACTCCACCCTGGGCGACAGAGCAAGAGTCCGTCTCAAAAAAAAAAAAAGAAAAAAAAAAAGAAAAAAGGAAAAAAAAGGTTGATGCTTGTGCCACTGGACACACCCGCACACCATCCTCATGCTGATCACAAAGAGGGTGAGGGGCCGGGCACAGTGGCTCATGCCTGTAATCCCAGCACTGTGGGAGGCCGAGGCGGGCAGGTCATTTGAGGTCAGGAGTTCGAGACCAGCCTGACCAATATGGTGAAACCCTACTAAAAATACAAAAATTAGCTGGGCGTGGTGGCAGGCGCCTGTCATCCCAGCTACTTGGGAGGCTGAGGCAGAATAGCTTGAACCTGGGAGGTGGAGGCTGCAGTGAGCTGAAATTGTGCCGCTGCACTCCAGCCTGGGTGACAGAATGAGACTCTATCTCAAAAAATAGAATGAAACAAAAAATTTAAAACCAAAAAAAAGAGGGTGATGGCTGAGTGAGGAGGCCACCGTGGGCCGCACACAGGGCCCAGGAAGGACAGGGCGCAGGGAGTATGAGCGTCCTGTCCACTGCAGTCGCTCCGCCATGGAAAGCAGGACCTGAGAGAAGCAAAGCTGCCTGGCTCAAAGCAGTGGCCGTCCTGCTGGCAGTTGTAGTGGCCGGGTAGCACTCGGGCCGGGATCCAGGGGAGTGTAGGTGGCCACCTGGCCGTGTGCCTGAGCCCTGCCCAAGCTGGGCACCTTTCCCTGGCAGTGCCTGGTAAGCTCGGCTGCCCTACTCATGGACTCTTGCCCATGGCCTGTTCCTTGTAGCAGGGCCGGGCTGTGGGAGGTCTGGACAGGATCTTGAATGGCCCTGTCTGCGGTCCTGGCTGGCCGGAGGTTGACTGCACTGGACAGGTCAGGGGCCTTAAACCAGGGTAGTGAGGAACCAGCCGAGCCCATGATGCTCCCCAGGCTGCCTTTGGCTCTCGGACAGACAAGCTTCTAAGGCGAAAGGTCTCCTGGGGCTGATTTCCAGGGACTTTGGCTCCTGCAGAGCGGCCTGGAGGCGGGGCTTGGTGTTCCAGGGCCAGAGTCCTCCCGGTGGAAGCTGAGGGGCCTGATTAAATGCCTCCCTTCCTAGGCAGCAGCCCAGACGCGGCACAGAGAGGGCTCGGGAGCTTGCGGCAGCTTCAGGTGAGTTTCCTCCCAAGCACCGCGGCTCATTTATGGGTTTGTTTGGGCTGCAGAACTGTTCGTGGAGCAGCGGGGTTGGAGTGCCCATGGCTGGGGGCCTCTCCTCAGAGCCCTTGATTCACAGAGCCCCTCGAAGCCCGCAGTCCTGCCTGCCCTGAAGAGCCTGGTTCTCCCAGCCGTTTGGGCTGTGGTCCTGTTGTGGGAGGTGACAGTGAGGGCGCACTGCCTGGGGTCCTGACGGGGGTGTTTGACCCTTTGGTGGCCTCCCCTGTGCTGTGGTCCCAGCCCCCAGATGGAGCCCCCCGTCCCCACGGCAGCACTGGGGCAGGGCTGGTGAGGAGCATGTGCATGGCCCCCGCCGCTGTCCTCAGCCAGGAGGATGCCTGGTCCCTGAGGAGCGGCCTCCACCTGTTTCTGGAGAATGCTGTCCTGCCAGTTGTCACTGGGGATGGGCGGTCGTAGTCCACGTCCTCCCCCAGGGCGGGGCCCTGGCCTGGTTTCTTGTAGGGACGATGGGAAGCCCCGTCCTCAGCCCTCCCACCTCATGGATGAGCTTCACGTCCTTGGGGCCATCTCCTCCACAGGGGGCCTTAGCGTCAGTGGGGACACAGGCAGAGGTGCCTGTCTTCGGGTTGTGGGGACCGACTGAGCTTTGTCCCAGTAGTGGCTGGCTCTTGTTTTCTGTCTGGACCAGCAGCCTCTGGTCTGGTGGGTGCAGTTCTAGGGCGCAGTGGGTTGGCCGTGGGGCCAGTCCGGGCCACCAGCTGCCTGGACACAGGGGCCTCCGCTTTCTGTCTGCTGCCCCGCACACCCCCAACTCAGGCAGGGGTGACACTGGGGCATCTTTGTTGGGGTCGCTGCGGTTCCCATGGTGGTGAGATGGCTCTGGTGAAAGACTGATCGAGATGCAGGGCCCGGGAGCAGGTGCTGTGTGAGTGGTACACGCCTGTGTCACCTGCGGGGCAGGGGAGGGCCCAGGGTATACAGCCATGTACATCATTAGTTAGCAAGACAGTGAGGAGTGTGTGTGGAGTGGATGCAGCTGTGGGTGCCACCCGCGCAAGGCTGGGGGTTGCTGTGCCAGCCCTGCTCCCATGTGGGCTCCTAGCTTCCCAGGTGGGGATGCTGACCCAGGGAGGTGCCTTTGCCTGCACCCACTGGAGTCTCAGGAACATGCGTCACATCCCCACATCATGCCCACTGAGCCCACCACCTACTGAGAGGCACCCTGAGACCCTGTCCTGCCACAGGTAGGCTGTCAAGGCCAGCACCAGAGACCCCCAGCAGACCTCAGTGGCCACAGATGGAGTGGGGCGGCAACGGTCACCTCCAGGACTCAGCCCTGTGCTGAGTCGTGGACAGTGTGGTCATACTGGCCCTTCTCATGCGCATCCCCTGGCTGGACACTCCTTGCTGCCCTCACGGGGTATGTGTGTGGCATGCCTCATACAGGACAGGGACCAGCCAGTTGGCCCTGCTCATTAACCACTTGTCCCCACTGGGCAGTGGCGGCCTCACCTCTGCAATTCTCCGAGGCTGGATCTAGGCCACCGCCCCGTTTAAAACTAGGGCAGCGGTTCCCAGGGAGGGTGGGGAGCTGCACGGTTGGACTTGTGGGGGGCAGGCATGGGTCCACACAGCCCGGGGCCCTCAGCACCCTGCCCCTCCAGGAAGCCCGGAGGTGGGCGTGGCTGCAGCCTGGCTCTGTGACAGTGCTAAGTCCTGGCCACTCTCGAGGTGCCGCCCTGAGAGTGAGCCTCTGCCGGCACGGCTCCTGCTGGTTCCCATTCGCAAGCACCTAAAACAGCCTGGCCCACAGCAGAGGCCCCGGGGGTGTTTGCTAAACCAGCGGGGGGCACGTGCGGCTCACAGGAGCGGCACAGATGCTCCACCAGCAGCAGGCCCTGCAGGAGCAGCAGCGGCCCAGGGCGTGTCCCCAGGGTCAGGGCTCGACATGCTCTGCGGGTCCTCACCCTGTCCCTGGGGGACCAGTCTGGGCACACTCCTTGGTGACAGTGTCTCCCCCTCACCCCCAGTTATTTGGACAGGAACTTGGTGACGGTGCCCCCCACTCCTCCCCCGGTTATTCGGACAGGAACTTGGTGACAGTGTCTCCCCCCCACCCCCAGTTATTCGGACAGGAACTTGGTGACAGTGTCTCCCCCCCAACCCCAGTTATTCAGACAGGAACTTGGTGACGGTGCCCCCCACTCCCCCCTCGGTTATTCGAACAGGAACTTGGTGACGGTGCCTCCCCTCCCCGGTTATTCAGACAGGAACTTGGTGACGGTGACAGTGCCCCCCCAATCGCCCCTCCCACCCGGTTATTCGGACAGGGAGCCAGGAGGGGAACCACGGATTGACCTGACCTGCGTCCAGCCCTCCTCAGGGTCACTGCACTGGGTGATTCACATGTGCCCAGGCCCTGAAGTGGGCTGGACCTGGGAGTGGCAAGCGAGCCTTCCTCCCGAGAGCCTCTGGCTGGCCGCAGCAGGCCCTGTCCCCGCTGTCCTCAGGCGAGTGGCCCTGGACATGATAACCCCCTGCCAAGGTCTGGCCGGAGCCAGCACCCACGGCCGAGATACAATCAGCCCTGGCTGGGCGCTGTCCCTGGAGGTGGCTACTGGTTCTGCCCTCCCTCGTTCTCACCACTCCTTGCCCCTCTTTCCTGGGGTCCCCTCCCATCGGAGTCTTCCTCCTAAATGCAGTTCTCTCCCTGTAGGGGAACGCCGGCTGGGAGCCTTTGTTTTTTTTTTTTTGCCCAGGCTGGAGCGCAGTGGCGCGATCTCGGCTCACTGCAACCTCCGCCTCCCGGGTTCAAGCAATTCTCTGCCTCAGCCTTCCGAGTAGTTGGCATTACAGGCGCGTGCCACCACCCCCAGCTAATTTTTGTATTTTTAGTAGAGATGTGGTTTCACCATCTTGGCCAGGCTGGTCTCGAACTCCTGACCTCATGATCCACCCACCTCAGCCTCCCAAAGTGCTGGGATTACAGGCGTGATCCCCCCACACCCGGCCTGGGAGTCTTTTCCGTAGCTGCTCGTCCTTTACTAGCATTTGTCCATCCATGAGTGGATGGGGACGCAGGAGGACCCAGGACCCACACCTGCAGTCGGGAAGGCTGGCAGGGTGGATTTCCGGAAGAGCATCAGTGCCAGCTTCCCACAGTCACCCCTGTGATGGGACCCTCAGGTTTGCACGTGGCTGGCAGCTGTGTCCCGGGAGTCCCAACTGCTTGCAGCCCTTGCTCCTTAGTGGGCCTTGCCAGCCAGGGCAGGGCCCCCGCCACCCACACGGGGCTCTCGACTCCTCTGGCAGCAGGTCAGGAGCGGTTCAGTGATGCCATCTCTGGAGATCCCCTGGCGTGCGCTGGAAAACTCCAGAGAGGCCTTAACAGAGCCGGCTGTTCCGCTTCCGTGACAGGGATGTTTGCTCTTCTGGGCGGGCTCCTCTCCTCCGAGCACCCACGAGAGGGTACTGTGTTGTCCCTGCTCTCCTAGGACAGGCCTCCCTCCTGTCCAGATGGGGCCCACAGGGTCGGGTGGCTGAGACTGGCTCCAGCTCAGGGAGGGTTTTCGGAGCGAGCACAGGGGAGCAGGAGGCCGGCAAGCAGCTCACTTCCTGCCCTGGGTACAGCTGGGCACCATGTCTGCCCTGGGCCTGCTAAAGGCATCAGTGAGGAGCAGGCAGGACCTCGTATGAGCCTGTGTTTCTAGCAGCGCGCGTGACCCCAGGTGCCACGTGCGTGAGTGCATGGGTGGGTGAGTGCGTGGGTGGGTGAGTGGCGAAGGCGCTGAGACTGGCCCCGGCGGGCACACAGTCCTCACACACAACAGGGGCAGGGCTCCTGTCAGAGCCAAACCAGCTCAGGGCCCAGTGCAAGCGGTTTCTGTCCCGTGGCACCTCCGCTAGTCACAGCTCCCACCCAAGCCCTGCCCCACTTAGGGTTTGGCTGCAGAAGGGGAGTGTCGGAAATGCCCAACCCGTCTCCCGTGAGGGACTCCTGCGTGGCATGGGCTGGGGAGTGCAGGGGTCGTTTGGGTGGTTCCAGGGTCTGGCGTAGCCACACGAGAGGCCCTGAGTTGATGTGGGCTCCCTGCTGGGTAGCCTGCTCCGTGCGTGCTGGGCTCCCAGCATTGCATCCAGTGGCATTCAGGGCCCTGTGGACCTCGCCTGCGTCCTGCGCGTTTAAACGCTGCCCCTTGTGGAGGCCACCAGCACTGGTGGCTGCAGGGCCTGTAGTGTGGCGCGTCCACGTGAGATGAGTGGCCAGGCACAGTTGTGTCCAGAGACGCAGCCTGGAGAACGGGCCTGGATGTCTCCGTCATGGTTTTGTGTTCGTGTCACACGGACGCAGCGATGCCTCAGACACCTCGGATCGTGCAGGGCACGCGGCCAAGGCTTGTTTTGTCTGTTCCTTTTCTCCTGTCTTACGTGGCTACCAGGAGGCCTGCCACGACTCCCGTGGCCCCCGTCCACACTGCGTGGCGCTTTCCAGCCTGGCTGCCAGCTGCCCCTTTGAGCGCAGGTGTGAGCACAGGGTGGTCCCTGGGGAGAAGCACCGGCAGGCGAGTGAGCCAGGCTGTGCCCAGTCAGACCCCTGCAGACCCCGAGGCTTGAATTTCATGGAACTCTCACCTCTCACGGAGTATTGTTTTTCTTTCGATTTTTTCCCAACCATTTAAAAATTTAAAAGCCATTGTTGACTTGAGGGCTGGACCAGGCTTAGGGCTGGGCTCTGGTCCGCACCCCACACTGGCCCTGTGTGTCCTGTGCCAATTCTGCCTGCGGGGCAGGCCTGAGCCACCACAGGATTGCGGGGTCCTCAGGGTGCAGGGCCCGCGATGCTTCACCCCTCCCACGACCCCAGCACCTTCAGAGAAAACGGCCCTCGTGTCGAGTGGAGCGGTTCAGGCGAACGTTATCACCACACGGGGGACTTGGCGGCTTCTGCCCCAGGCTTCAAAGGAGAGGGGATCCAGAATTGTCTGTCCCACCCC